GTCTTTGGGGTCTAGCCTCGTGTCTGGCACTTAGCAGTCCTGCTGACAAGAGACTCCCAAGTGTTCCTATGCGCTGGGCTCTGTGTAATCACTTCACCAAATTAATCTCATCTTCTCAGTACGACCGTTAGTGTAGACATCACTTAGCAAATGTCTGTGGAATGAGTGAGTGAGTATGTGAAAGAAACGTCTCAGGGGAGTACACAAAAAACATCACTCGTGGCAACAAATATTTGGGCTGATTCTCATCTCTTGGCTCTGAGTGGAAACCATAAGCCCAAAGAAAGCCTCCTGCCTTCCATCCTTTTAAAGCAGGCTTCCTCATGAGCCCAGCCCCCTCTTGGATAGGCAGGAAGAATGGCCCCTCACTTTTTTAGAGAGAGGATTGGCCAGCATTCGTTTGTATCTGGGGAAGTTTCATGGTCTCGATCCAGGAGGGCAGGACCAGACAACCGGTTCTGCTAACTCATCGTGGCCAGGGACAAAGGCAACAGCTCATCTATTCTAAAACCAAAGAGACTTTTTTGGGAAGCTGTTCCCCAGCTCTAAACTGCCTTATAAATAATAGCACTGCCGACAACACGTCATTCCATTACCTCAGCAAGCATTCCCTAAATTGTTCCTCTTGGTAAATGTGCCAGGAAGTGAGGTGGCTCCCAGAGAGGCTCCTAGGGGCTAAGAATGTTTCAGGGATGAGACGGGGCTTGGATTCCAGCCAGTGCTTCTCTCTAGGGGGTGCTGTTCGAATTTGAGGCAGGATCGTTCTTCCTTGTGTGGCCTGTCTGGAAGTGTCCTGACCACTAAATACCAGTAATCCTTTCTTCACCACCGAGACAGTCATAAACCACCCCCCCAACACACTCCGCCTCCTCCAGGATGGCAGGGGTCTGGGGAGAGGAATCCACTGGCTCCTGCCATATGCTTTTCCCCTCAGGCTAAAATTACTGTGGCCTTGCGGTGGGCACTGGGCCCTTGGGCCTTCAATGACTTGATTGTCTGCGCTTAACAAGCCATAGACGGAATTCTCTGGAGAGAAATCAGAGCTTCCTCCCTTTCCTCCCAAGAGAGGGTGGCTTTTGGTCAGGCAAAAATCCTCTGATGATTCCTTATATCCATGTCAGAATGTAGACCTTTTCTCTTATCTCCTCATTTGTCTGGAGAACCCTTATGGGTCTGTATTCAACAGATTTAACATTGTCACAACACAAATCTCAAGTTCACTGTCACCTCCTACGTATCAACAACACAGCGAAAGCCAACACTGGTTGCCTTGGGAGAGGGGAACTGCGTTGCGAGATAAGCTGATTTTCACTGTATATTCCTTTGTACTTTCTGAATATTCAATCCTGGACATACCTGTAATCCACTCTAGCAGTTAGAAAGCATGAACGTGTGGTCATATTTCAATTTAATTCCTGACTTTTGAACTCCCCGCTGTTGTTCTCTTCTTTTTGCTCCCACATTTGATTCATGACTTCTTGTTGTGTTCCATAGATTCCCACAAACTTCCCTTAAATTACTTTTGGAAAAGGTAGGCGTATAAATGAATGAACTCCTGAAGAGAATAGGGGAAAAAAAGAAAAACCAAAACACTGAAACTATTCAAAATGTATCCTCTTTTTTGGGGCTCCTGGGTGGCTCTATCGGTTGGGGATCCGACTCTTGGTTTTAGCTCCGGTCATGATCTCAGGGTAGTGGGCTCTAGCCCTGCATCAGGCTCTGTGCCCAGAGCACAGTTTGTTGGGATTCTCTCTCTCCCTCTGCCCCTCCCCAGCTCCTCTCTCTCTTTCTCTCTCTCTAAAATGGAAAAATAGGGGCACCTAGGTGGTTCAGTCAGTTAAGTGTATACTTTCGGCTCAGGTCATGCTCTCAGGGTCCTGGGATTGAGTCCCACATGGGGCTCCTTGCTCAGCGGGGAGCCTGCTTCTCCCTTTGCCTCTGCCAGCAGCTCTCCCTGCTTGTGCTCTCTCTCTGTCAAATAAATAAAATCTTTAAAAATAAATAAATAAAATCGGGGTGCCTGGGTGGCTCAGTGGGTTAAAGCCTCTGCCTTCGGCTCAGGTCATGGTTTCTGGGTCCTGGGATAGAGCCCTGCATCAGGCTCTCTGCTCGGTGGGAAGCCTGCTTCCTTCTCTCTCTCTGTCTGCTGCTCTGCCTACTTGTGATCTCTCTCTGTCAAATAAATAAATGAATCTTTGAAAAAAAAAAAATAAAATGAAAAAATAAGTCTTTATAAAAATTCCCCTTTTCTAGACAATGAGAATGACTGGGAAAACAAATGCCCTCTTGACCGTTTCTTCCATTTGGTTCAGGACATTTATATGTCTAAATCTAAGTCAGTGTTTTGTTTTTTTTTTTTTAAGATTTTATTTATTCATTTGACAGAGAGAGTGAGAGATCACAAGTAGGCAGAGTAGCAGGCAGAGATAGAGGGGGAAGCAGGCTTCCCTCTGAGCAGAGAGCCCGATGTGGGTCTCCATCACAGGATCCTGAGATCAGCACCTGAGCCGAAGGCAGAGGCTTAACCCACTGAGCCACCTAGGCGCCCCTAAGTCAGTGGTTCTTTTTTTTTTTTTTTAAGATTTTTTATTTATTTATTTGACAGAGAGAGAGATCACAAGTAGGCAGAGAGTCAGGCAGAGAGAGGGGGGAAGCAGGCTCTCCGCTCAGCAGGGATGCTGAGGCGGATGTGGGGCTCGATCCCAGGACCCTGAGACCACGACCCGAGACGAAGGCAGCGGCTCAATCCACTGAGCCACCCAGGCGCCCCTAAGTCAGTGGTTCTTAACTGGAGGTGAGGGGGCAAAAGGGGATGATTTTGCCTCTCAGGGGATATTTGTGTCTGGAAACATTTTGGTTCTTTCTCACAGCTGAGGCGGTGCTGGTGCCATTGGCATCCGGTGGGTAGCGACCAGGAATGCTGTTAAGCATCCTACAATGCTCAAGACGGCCGCATGCCCTCCCCCAGCAAAGAATTGTCTGATCCAATGTATCACTAGTGTGGAGGAAGAGAAATCCTGGTCTAAATCTCTCTGACATAATCTTTTGTAAAGCCTTCGTATATTATCACTTTCCCAAACTAATAAAGTGACTTTAAACCTGAAAAGGGCACTGTGTATGTCAAATGTACTCAAAATTTCTCCCGTTTTTGTATCATTACCCTCCACCTTTACCCTATGCCCCATCCTCAAAATCTTCCTGCTCTCTACTCCATGGCTTCACTGACTCTGAAAGTCTGTTGTCTCCTGCGTCAGTACCAATAAGACCCTATACTTGGGTAAGGCTCTATCTGGCCTGAGCTGTCGCCACCCCTCCCACCAGCCCCATCTTACCTAGGGCTGAGTTGCTCTCAGCTTGGGCCCCTTGGCCCTCTATCTGAGGTTGGGTGTCATAAGGTGGGAAGGGACTGTTTGGAAAGGTTTCAGGATGGACCTAGGAGAGGCCATGTCTAGCTCAGGATTCAAGAAACATAGATGTTAGTCCTAAGGTGTGGCCTTTTGGAATTTCAGATGGAAAGCCAGAAGGGTTTGCCCTGCTCCTCTAACATGGAGGAATCGAACTCAGACTCTTTCTCTATGGCCCTGGATAGCAGCCCGAACCTCTGCTCAGCTTTCAGACGCCCCAGCTCCTACCTTTTGCTGGGCTCTTGGGACATTTTTCTTTGCATAGCTCAGCAGGCAGGCAGCCTAGGATTGGAGGGGAGTTTGTGTTCGGAATTGAAGGCTTCCTCTTCTGGGGCATCCTTTCTTCCAGGGGACCCACCTTCCATCTTCAGCTACTCTGGAGTCCCAGACTCTGTCCTCTGACTCTTCAGGGGAAAAAGTTTGGGACTTTCCACTGGAGTTTCAGCCATCTCCTGCCCCTTTAGACTGGGAAGTGCCCTCAGTAAATAATCCATTTGCACGTAGATGGTTCCCTTCATTCAATCAAGGATTGGGTCCTTTCCCTTGCTGCCCTGCCTTGGGGTACTTGATCGTGCTTTCCAGGAGTCGTTTTTCATATTTTGTTTATAATTTTTCCCTGTGGGGGGATTCATGGGATACAAACAACGGTGCCAACAGGGGCCACTTTTCACTTCCCCTTATACCTGTATTTAAAGTGCATCGCTTTTATCTCTGGGCTCAGGGACCGCTGAGGTGGGGCAGGGGACACATTTACAGGACTAAGGGCAGAGCTGGCCTCGCTGGGGCAGGCTGCACAGGCCAGGTTTTGAGTCAGGCTGTGAGAGCTGGGCAGGACTGGAGACCAGACAGGGCAACACAGTGGCGACTTGGGCACTGCCGAGTTCAAGGTGGGGGGCCAGAGAGCCAACCAACCTCAGCCTGGCTGGGAGTCGGGATTTCTGAGCAGAAAACCTCCCTGCGTAGACTCCACATTAAGAAACAGCGGCAGCATTGTCCCGTTGCCCCTGTACTGATCTGTGAAGGCCCTTCACTGAGGTGCTCCCACCCTGGGTGCTCCCCATTCCCTGGTCCTTCTGTGGCCCAAGGTTGCTTCCCAGGCTGGCTGTGAGCCCAAGATCTCTGGAGGGGTAGTCTCAGGGGGCACCCTCAGGGGGCACCTTCCACAAGGGAGCAGAAGGGCACAGAAACGTATGGGGATATAGTCACGCCAGAAGCCAAACGGAAAGGCGGACCTTCAATAGTTCCATTGAAAGGACACACACACACAGGAAGTGGACACCTCTCCGCTAAATATGGGTCAGCACGTATTTAGCACTCAGCTGCCGTGAGCCCACTCCTGTTCATTCCAGCACCCAGCACTGCCTGTCGATTCTGAGTCCAGTCTTTTATCCTCTCCAGAACACACAATCGGCTTTGGGGCCACAAAAGGTTTATCGTGGGGGCTTGCACATCTCTAATCTCAAACTTCATCCTTAGGAGGCTTAGGGTCAGTACTGATCATTCAGGGAGCCAGAAAGGGGCTTTGGAGGCGGGGGAAATGGTGGTGGGACGGTAACCTATAAGAGGAATCAGAAAGGGTGGGGGACATCCCGTGAGTAAGATGTCAGGGGAGGAGGAGTTTTATCTGTTCAAGAACATCTCCTTGGTGGGGCCATGGGATGGGCCTCAGTACCACATTGCCCCGGTCTGGGCCTTCCGCCTCCAGGCAGTCTTCATGGGCTTTGTCTTCTTTGCAGGGACACCACTCAATGCCACGGTGCTGGTGGCCACCCTCCGCTACAAAAAATTGCGACAGCCACTCAACTATATTCTGGTCAATGTGTCCCTGGGGGGCTTCATCTACTGCATCTCTGTGTCCAGCGTCTTCATCGCCAGCTGTCACGGATACTTCATCTTTGGGCACCATATTTGTGCTTTGGAGGCCTTCCTGGGCACTACAGCAGGTACTGCCAGGGAAGGAGACTTGGGGGAGACAAAGGACTGCTTCAGGATCGGAAGCAGGGGCCAGAATGTTGGGTTAGAGTGGGCCCCTAAAGGAGGAGCCCGGGGAAAAAGGAGTTTGGTGCTCTTTATCATTGGGGTACAAAGCAGCCGGGACTAGTTTAACTGAGTCCCAAACTCCACACCAACCATCATTTCAATCCCTTCTTTACCCCTTCTTGCTCCACCATCTGTAAGCCACTCTGCCTGCCAGGCTGGGTGGGGCTGTCTACCCCAATTACTCTCATGTTTCACTACAGGTCTGGTGACAGGCTGGTCACTGGCCTTCCTGGCCTTTGAGCGCTACCTGGTCATCTGTAAGCCCTTCGGCAACTTCCGCTTCAGCTCCAAGCATGCACTGATGGTGGTCCTGGCTACCTGGACCATTGGTATTGGCGTCTCCATCCCACCCTTCTTTGGCTGGAGCCGGTGAGGGTGTAGGACAATGGTGCTGAGCTAGGAGCTCCAGTTGGTGTGGGTGGAAAGAGTTGGGTATGACCTTAGTCTTTGACCTTTTTAAAATTTATTTCTTTTAGAGAGAGGGCGGGGGTCGGGGAGGGGCAGAGGGAGAGGGAGTCTTAAGCAGACTCTGCCCTGAATGTGGCGCCCGATGTGGGGCTCAGTCTCATGACCCTGAGACCCAGCCAAAACCAAGGGTCAGATGCTTAACTGTGCCACCCAGGCGCCCCTAACTTCCACTTTTAAAGAGCCGGTGGAGTAGGTGAGGCTGTGGGAGGCAAGTGCTAACATTCACCCTGCAGTTGGAATTGCTATAGCCTCAGCTGGTAAGGGCAGAAATTGCCCCTGCAGGGAGTCCTGGAGCAACCTCTAAGTGGAGAGCACAGTCCAGAATCTCAGCTCCCACTCCACTCATTCTTGTGGTGAGCCCCGCAGTGGGTAAGTGCTTGTCCAGTGGGTGAGTGCTTGGTCCCTTGCAGGTATATCCCTGAGGGCCTGCAGTGCTCCTGTGGCCCCGACTGGTACACCGTGGGCACCAAATACCGCAGCGAGTACTACACCTGGTTCCTCTTTATCTTCTGCTTCATTGTGCCTCTCTCCCTCATCTGCTTCTCCTACTCGCAGCTGCTGGGAGCCCTTCGAGCTGTGAGTGATTTTTGTGAGGTTAGGGAGGGGGCAGTCAGGGGGCTCCAAATGAGCGGGAAGAGTGGGTGAGGGCTTTAGAACAGGAGACATCTGGAAACGTCCACAGCCAGGTAGAGGGGATATCTAAAAGTAGTGAAGGAAGTGGGGGCAGGGAGTATGATGGAATGATGGGAAGAGTAGGGCTCAAATGTGTGGCAAGAGATTCGTGTGATCCCTTCCAAAGTCATAGACCAGAGAGCCATCTCCACCTGCCTTCCTCAGGGAAGGAGAGCAAGAGGCACTAGGCCAGAAGCTGGGACAGAAGAGCGGCCATTGGAGGGGATGCCCCCCTGGTAGGAAAGGGTGGAGATGTGGAAGTTAAGGGCCAGGGAGAAGAGAATATTTCTCTGTGCTCTGCCCAGGTTGCAGCCCAGCAACAGGAGTCTGCTTCAACCCAGAAGGCTGAGCGGGAGGTGAGCCGGATGGTGGTGGTGATGGTGGGGTCCTTTTGTTTCTGTTACACGCCCTATGCTGCGATGGCCATGTACTTGATCAACAACCGGAACCACGGGGTGGACCTACGGCTGGTCACCATTCCTGCCTTCTTCTCCAAGAGTGCTTGTGTCTACAATCCCATCATCTATTGCTTCATGAATAAGCAGGTAAAGCTCTCTATTTACACTCCTATGAAACCCCATTAAGACTTGGTTCTTTTCTAACAACTTTTGATTCAGAGCACCTTAGACTCCACTCAAAAGGTTCTGAGGGGTGAACAAGGGAAGCCCTTGGTAAGCACAGGGAGATGGGTGTGGTTACCGAAACAAAGGAATAGAATCCAGAGAAAACAGAACTTGAGCCATAAAAATCAGTTTGCTCCGAGGGGCAGGATGTGAAGCGAAAGGAGTTTTTCTGAAAAACTAATAATCATTCTCCTAAATTCCTACTCCTTCCATTTCAGAAGCTCTAAATCCTTTCCCTTCCAACTGCCAGCTTGCAAGAGGGTATACAAAAGCACAGGAATCCAACACATTCATAAATCTCTAACACAGCTTATCACCTGAAGGTACCAAGTGGCCTCCTATCCCAAATTCTGTATCTGAGCTAATAAAAACTCAAACTTAGATGAATCTAAGAGAGTTCTTCTCTTGTGGGGCAAACTCCCTGCTTTGAGAATTAATAGCTATTTTGTTTCCTCAGTCCACAAAGACGGATTCAAAACTTCTGGATGGGAACAAAACTGGCAATTCCTTCCAACTGGGAGCACCCCCTAATAATGGTGGGGTGGGTGGGCAGGCCTACTCTGGCCTTGCTTTTGAGTATTTTGATGAGGCAAGTGCTGCTTGGAGGTTTCCTGACAGTGAAGCCTCTGAGCCAAAATATGTAGGAATTATTAATGTAGACCCAGGAATAGCTCTAAGGATTAGGCATTTGTATTCAAAACCACCTGAGGAGAGGACACCTCGCTGGCTCATTCAGGTAAGCGTCTGCCTTTGGCTCAGGTCAGGATCTCTCGGTCCTGGGATAGAGCCCCGTGTCAGGCTTCACGCTCAGCATGGACTGTTTTTCTCTCTGTCCCCCTCCCTCCACTCGTTCTTTAATAAATAAAATCTTTAAAAGAAAAACAACAAAAAACAAAAAACAAACCATGTTTGGAGGAGATCCTGGGTATAAGGTATTGCACAAGGCTTTGGGAATACAAAGAGATCTCTTTGTCCCCCATATTTCTTGATGTCACTTCCTCTGTACTGGTCACAAGGGGCTAGCTCCAATTCTGCCCTTTCCTTGCAGTTCCGAGCCTGCATCATGGAGATGGTGTGTGGGAAGCCCATGACAGATGATTCTGAAATGTCCAGCTCCCAGAAAACAGAAGTCTCTTCTGTCTCTCCCAGTCAAGTTGGCCCCAACTAAGGAGCCATACTGGCTTATCTGCAGCAATTAGGATTTTACATTTAGAGAAATTTCTTCTCTCTCTCTCAAACACCAAACTAACAAATGCAGAGTAAGATGGGAAGGGAATAATGGGATTTCAGGGAGTCAACTTTCCATTTTCCTACTGCTCCTTTCCTACCTACAAAGCTATTGTTCCAACTGGGTCTACTTCAGGTCACTCCAAAGGCCATGTCAACAATCCTCAATTTCTACGCCTAAGTGGCATCATTCATAGCACTTGGAGAACTGATTAAGTATGAGGCCACTATAAAGGAGTATGGGTTTTTCAGTGTATGGATAAGCCACTAGGGAAATTCAAATCAAAACCACATTGAGATACCACCTTACACCAGCTGGAATGGCCAAAATTAACAGGATAGGAAATAACAAGTGTTGGAGAGGAAGTAGAGAAAGGGGAATCCTCTTACACGGTTGGTGGGAATCCAAGTTGGTGCACCCACTTTGGAAAACAGTGTGGAGATTTCTTCAGAAATTAAAAATAGAGCTACTCTATGACCCTGCAATTGCACTACTGGTTATTTACCCCAAAGATACAGATGTAGTGAAAAGAAGGGCCATCTGTACCCCAATGTTCATAGCAGCAATGGCCAACTGTGGAAAAAGCCAAGATGGCCTTCAACAGACAAATGGATAAAGAAGATATGGTCATTATATACAATGGAGTATTATGCATCCATCAGAAAGGATGAATACTTAACTTTTTAACAACATGGACAGGACTGGAAGAGATTATGCTGAGTGAAATAAGTCGAGCAGAGAGTCAATTACACGTTTCACTTACTTGTGGAGCACAAGGAATAACATGGAGGACATTAGGAGAAGGAAAGGAAAAGTGAAATTGGGATAAACCAGAGGGGGAGATGAAGCATGAGAGACTATAGACTCTGAGAAATAAACTGAGGGTTTTGGTGGGGGTTGGGGGTGGGTATGGGTGAGCCTGGGGGTGGGTATTAAGGAGGGCATATATTGCATGGAGCACTGGGTGTGCTGCATAAACAATGTTGGAACGCTGAAAAATATAAAATAAAATTAAGATGTTAAAAAAATAAAAAAATTATCTCCTTTTTTGTGATTTTTTTTTTCCTTATTGGGGGATCTGTTCTGAGATGATACATTTGGAATTAGAACAAACTTAAACACCCTAGAAATGGGAGATATAAAGAAAAAAACAAAACCTTGAGTAGGCCCAAAATATGAGTTTGAAAGACTGTCTTTATGCCACCACAGCCAATAACCCAATAGTTCTGGCAGGGACAGCCATATCCAGAAGATCCTGAGCCAGCATTAATTATTCGAGCTCCTCCCACCAAATTTGGCTAAACTTATACATCTGTCTTAAGCTCCATTATTTAGTAAAGTTAACAGTTAATTCCCTTCATGTTCTCAAAATGTCTATGTACCTCTTAATATCATTTATAAGCTATATACCAAAATGTTAAAAAAACTGTTTTACTTTATGCTTCCCCTCTACACCCCCTGAAAAAGAGCCTTGTTGAAATAAAAGTCAAGATAAATGTTGTGTGTACATTCAGGAATGGCTTGTGTTTGGTATCAGATAATTATGTAATGAGCAGCTGGACTCCTCTCCAGTCATATGGCCCAAGGAAAGCAAAGAAGGGAAAGAAGGGTTACAGCTGTAGTGAGAAAGATGCTAGAAAATTTCAGAAATAAAAAAGGAATAGCTAATCTGGGAGAAGGCAGAACTTCTCTGGGATGGGGAGGAAGCATGGTAAAACTTCTAGACCTCCTTTTCTTGACATTTTATAGCACCCATCTTTCTAAGCAAGAATTCCATTTCTTAAGAGAATAAAGGACATACTCATACCCCACCATGAATGTAAACAGTTTTATTTAGAAACAGATAGGTACCTGTTTGCATTATAGAATATAAAACTTGGTTTACACTCTATAAAAAATAACCAGTATCCAAATTTAAGAGAGCTAGCATTCACAGAACACACAATGTGGGTGTGTAGCTACTGTTCACCAGCCTCAGGCTTGACTGAAACCAAAAAGATAATCCGGGGTCATCAGAGGTTAGAGTATGCTTGCTGCTGAGCACCCAGTATCCAGAACTTGCCATTTCAGCATATGAAGGTTTGCTTTCTAAGTGTGTAACTTTAACATCAGGCCTGGGTTCTCTGTACCTAGGGAGCTGCAAGGCCCTCCTGCTGCACAGTTCATGATGTGCCCTCTCTAATCCTGGGTTGATGTTCTCATCTTTGATCTTCTGAATGATAAAAATGGGGAATCTGGAGAGCAGAGAATTTACATTCCCCTATACTGGGGTTAAAAAGAGTGTATCCACTCTCAAGAGCTCAATGCAAAGGCCAGGATCAAATTACATTATAGTCTGGCTTTTAACCAGGCCAAGTAGTCCACTTCAACATGATCATGGAAGACCAAAGGATACACCTAGGTTCAGATTATAATAATCACCCAGCACCACCTGAATGTATTATCCAGAAAGATATATGAAATAATAAAGGTTAGATATACATATATTTATCTTAGTAACCTGAGGGCTAAAAAGGTTTGGAATACAATTCTTCTCAAAAGAGGTCCATCTGTAAGAAAAGGACAAAAAAGACAGTTCGTGTTACATAAACTATGGGTAAAGGTGAGTTGGGAACAGAAGGCGGCTTCTTCAGCTCTTTCTACAACGTCCCTCTCTTTGACAAGGACTGGCAACCTGCTGATCCACGATAAACTTTTTTGGGGGCAGCGCAGAGAGGGGGCCATGGGTCAAAGGCAAGAAGGTTGAGCTACGGTCCTCAAACCAAAGAGTCCTCTCAGTAGGCCCTCTCATCTTTGAGTCTGAGTTCAAGCTCTTCAGCTGACACAGAAATAGGCCTGGTAGTAAGTGGTTAGCATTCTGAGGTATGAGGATCCCTGGTAAGTTCAGCAGCATGTGGTTTTTGGAAACCAGCCCACAAGATAAGAACACTGCAACCAAGCTCCTAACTAATACTGCTATTTAACCACTGTCTGAAAAAGAAAGGGAAGAGAAGGGAAAAAAAAAAAAAAAATCCCCAACACATTGGGAGGTTGTAAGTGTCATATAAGGTGGCCCAAATAAACTCTTTATTTCATCTCAGGGTTTCTCAAGAAAACCCTCATTTGGTGATCATTTCTCTCATTAAAGGCACTTTCAATGAAATGACATAATTGGAAAGGAGTACATTTTAACTGTAGTGAAAGCAAGATTAATTCCTAGGAACACCTGGGGAAATAGGAGCTGAACGGGGCACTCACAGTGATTCAATAGGCAAGACAGTCTTGAGCACTGCAACAGATGCACACCCAAAAGAAAGTGTGTGCCCTGAAAACACTTGTATTTTTCCCTTAGTTTTCCAGCTGTTTCTATGTATAGCTCTGTAAAGAGATCACACTCACTTGATTGATTTTCAAGACACTGGCCCTAACTCTTCCCACCACAGCTGTGCCTGGCAAAATTAGCAAACAGCTAGTCCTACTGGGAAGGAAAAAACTGAACGAAATCAAGTCGAGCCAAGCTTTCTGACAGCACAGGGATCGGTCCTCGCCCAGATAATGCCACAATCAACTGCTGGACTGAGAGCAATTGAATGGAATATGCGGCCCTACTACTCACGGAAACACTTTTCAACAGGCAAGATGAAGTGTCGTCTCTCTAAATAAAAGAGTGGGGTGTACTTTTTCCCTTTTCTTTCTCCTAAACATTTCTTATTGATCTCAGGCTTAAAAAATTAGTTAAGTCAGAATTACAAAAATTATATGGCAAGGGTTGAGAAAGCGTGAAGGGCTAACGTTTGCCTACAGCGTGAGTTGAGGATGTTGATCCTTCATATCATACTCCCAACCAGAGAACAGATACAAAAATAAACACACCATGTTATACATAATACAAAGTGTAAATCTACAAACACAAGTGTACTAATTAGAGTTGTTCCTCAGAAGCACAGTTCCCTCCAGTACCTCGAAGAGGAGGAGGAATGGGGACGGGATGGTTTTCATTACCTTTTCAGGTCTTAAAGTTTGTAATAACAGTCTCAGTAGCGCAAACAATTTCATGTGAAACCAGAGGCTGTAAAAATAAATTACTTTGGAAGAAATGTGGATTCCTCTGTCTGCAGCTCAGAACTCATCATGTCGTACTAAGGCCTCACCAAAATCTGTGGCCTGGCTGCCCACAAACAAATCATACTTGTCAACAATCTCCTCCTTGGTAAGCTTGCCGTCCTGAAATTAGAGAGAAGAGTAAATTGAGGAAAAAACGATTTCCCATTCCCAATTTAGCAACATCGCTATAAAACACCACTATAAAACAAAACGGGGTTAGTCAGGATTTAAGATTCTAATTCCCACTAAATTAATGTGAACTCAACCTTCACCCCCAACCCTCCACAACATACAAAGAGGGAAGAAAATAGCAATTCACACATTTTTCTTATCAAGAAAGTTAAAAGTGGAAGGGTGGAAATAACACAGCTCAGTAACTTAATGCATCAAGCAAAATGTGGGCCATCTCCTATGTATAGGTAAGAGACAGGAAGAACTGGGGAAAATACTTTAAAGTGAATCCAGTCATTGCCTAACAGGAACAATAAAATCTGCTAACGTCCGCACGAAGTCTTCACCCCCGCTATGCCTTCGCCAGCAACAGATTCCAGACACAACCCCCAACGAAGGCTCAGACACTCAGCTCAAAAATTATCTAGGCCGGATTCACAAGGGATGACCTTGGGAGTCTTCTTTTCTCACATATCTCAAGACACAGCACCTAGCTACTGAAGTGACTCCAAGAACTCAAAACAGACCGTCCCTTAAAACAGCTCAGATGATAAGACACTGCATTTGAAAGCAAAGACTGGCCTAAACAGGAGAATGTTCAGAATACAAAACCCTCTATCTTTAGATTGATTTTCAGCCTACTCTAGGCAGAGCATTCAATTGCTGAAAAGGTGACGACTTAGTGAGACTACCGCTCTTTTTATGAAACAAAGGCCTCAGATAAATGATCAAGAAAACTTTTAACAAGCTCCAGATAAATGCTGATTTATAACCTACTACAAAGAACTTAATTTTAAAAAGTGTATTTAAGAAGGAAATGACCAACTCTGAGCAGGCAAATGAGCCTGTAATAGGTAAAAGCACAAAGGAAATAACAAAGGGAAAAAAGCAGAGAAAATTTCCTGGGGATCTGAAGATAACAGATGACACACACTGGATACAGGCTATATACGGAGGCTCCATCCTGAAGCCAAATGCCTCCAATGGTGTGAACACTACTGAGCAAAGGGATTTCTAAAATGAGATCACCTAGCTAGCACTGCCCTGTAAATTTTCAATTGTCGACTTAATATTTGTAGCAGACTTAGACCAATTAAGACCTTACATGCTCTATGTACCTCCATAGGAATGTTTTAGGCAATTCCCTATTCAATCGCTACCAGGTTGTTTGGGCCTAGCCAGACTTACCTTGTTCTGGTCGGATTCATAGACTAGGTGCCTGGCTTCTGCCTCTGCATGATCATAGTCTGAGGGGAGGATCCAGTCTTTGGTCTCTTCCTTGTCCATCTTCCCATCACGGTTCTTATCTCGAAACTCAACAAACTGTTCTCTTTCTGTCTTTACCCACTCTGGCTCATCAGCATTTCCATCATGGCTGTACATGTCACCTGCACGCACATGTACATAATGCAAAAGGTAAGTTTTGTCTTTTTCTCAAGACTGCCACATGGTAATCTGGCTTAACTCTTCTTCCTCATCCATCTGTCTGGAACCTAGTAGCAATTACAAAGGTATTTTAGGTCAGAGAAAGCAAGGCATTTTCCTGAGGCTTACTCAATGACCTTATAACAAGAATATTTCCAACTGCTTAATGTACTTAATAGCCAAAATATGGAAAGAGCCCAGATGTCCACCAACAGATAAATAGGTAAGATGTGGTAAAGTCATATACTGGAATATTACTCAGCCAGCAAAAAGAATGAAATCTTGCCATTTGCAACAACATGGATGGAACTAGAGAGTATTACGCTAAGCAAAATAACTCAGAGAAAGACAAATACCGTATGATTTCACTCATATGTGGAATTTAAGATATAAAACAGATGAACATAGGGCAGGGGAAGGAAAAATAAGATAAAAACAGAGAGGGAGGCAAACCGTAAGAGACTCTTTTTTTTTTTTTTTTAAGATTTTATTTATTTATTTGACAGAGATCACAAGTAGGCAGAGGCAGGCAGAGAGAGAGGAAGGGAAGTAAGCTCCCCGCTGAGCAGAGAGCCCTATGCGGGGCTCGATCCCAGGACCCTGGGATCATGACCTGAGCCGAAGGCAGAGGCTTTTAACCCACTGAGCCACCCAGGCACCCCCCGTAAGAGACTCTTAACTATAGGGAACTGAGGGTGGGGGATGGGATAATGGGGAGATGGGTATTAAGATGGCACTCGACACAAAGAGTACTGGGTGTTATATGCAACTGATGATCACTAAATTCTGCCCCTGAAACTAATAATACACTATATGTTAACTAAACTGAATTAAAAAAAAAAAAAAAATAAGAAGAAGAATGTTTCTAGTTGTTGACTGTAATATGAGTGCAAAGAGAATCCTTAGCCCTCAAGAAATGCAGAAATAAAGGGCAATGACTAGCATCTGGAAAGATAAACTTTTAAAAGATCGCTCTTCCCTACATTCCATTCCCACCCAAGGTAGCTAGCTAAACGTATTGCTTTTAGAAAGGTGCTATGTTAAATTCTCAAGAAAACTTGAGAAGTGTATGCTAGAAACCAAACTGTGTATAACCAATTACTAAGTACTTTTAAAAATGTATCTCTAGGGACGCCTGGGTGGCTCAGTGGGTTAAGCCGCTGCCTTCGGCTCGGGTCATGATCTCAGGGTCCTGCGATCGAGCCCCGCATCAGGCTCTCTGCTCGGCGGGGAGCCTGCTTCCTCCTCTCTCTGCCTGCCTCTCTGCCTGCTTGTGATCTCTGTCAAATAAATAAATAAAATCTTTAAAAAAATAAAAATAAAAATAAAAATGTATCTCTAAAAATGATGGCTATATATACGCCATAATGTCCATTATCACATTTCAAAAAATCAACTTTTGGGACTATTGAATACTCAGTCCAAATGTGACTTTCCTAATTATCTTCTGAAGTTGGTTTGTTCAGGGGCACCTGCAAAGCTCAGTTGGTGAACCATCTGACTCTTGATTTCGGCTCAGGTCATGATCTCAGGGGTGTGGGATTAAGACCAGAGTCAGGTTCTGTGTGGGGCATGAAGCCTGCTTAGGATTCTCTATCTCCCTCTCCTTCTCCCACCAGCCCCATCCCCAAACTAAAATAAATAAATAAACAAATAAAGTTGGTTTGTTCAAATTACCTATATGAACACTATAGGCAAGAAGTTGCTATGGTACTTGAATTTTACTAGATTTATGTAAGAGTTAAAGTACTTTAAAATTCAGTATTACAGCCGAGAGAGATTCTTCACAATTGTTTGTATGTCTACTTAGGGGCGCCTGGGTGGCTCAATTGGTTAAGCATCTGCCTTTGGCTCAGGTCATGATCTCAGGGTCCTGGGACTGAGCCCAAAGTCGGTCTACCTGCTCAGCAGGGAGTCAGCTTCTCCCTCTGCCTCTCCGTACCCCCACCCCTGCTTGCTCCCTCAAATAAATAAATAAAACCTTTAAAAAAAAATACGAACTTCTACTTAAATACTGTAGATGCCAACTTTAAAATGTATAAGGGAATACTGTTTGGCAAAATTCTTTCAGAATTATTTGAGTGAAGAAGTCTGAAGACTACTGAGTTTACTACATCGAAGTAAGTATATGTGCACTGCATACAAGGTATGGGAACACACCTTATATATGTCTAGCAGTTCTAAGGAAAGGTAGCTATTTAGTTGTGATAAAGCTAATTCATACATTGAAACCCACAAAATGGAGGTTGCTCAAGTAGCACGGCCCACACCACCGATCTGAACCCAAGTTAGCCTGCGCTTAGGGGAAACACCACCCTGCAAGGAAATTTAACATATGCCAATCACAATTCTCCAACTCCACTTGCAGCTTACCTGACCCTAGAAAACAGGACCTGCCAGCCCTATAAGGAAATCCCTAGCCTTCTAGCCAATCATATCCTGTTTCTGTTACTACTTCTAATGCTTTATAAAACTCACTTTTGCCCAAAATCCCTTGGGAAAAGTGCTCCACTGCTTGTTAGGCACTGCACTCCCCAATCCGTGGACTGTTTTCCCTTGAATAAAGGATGAACTCGTTACTAAACTATATTATTGTCATTTGGTATTGTTGTCTTTCTGAATTTGAGGACTAAGAGTAGACCTTTTTTTTTTTTTTAAAAAAAACAAAGAAGGAATAACTCAAAGCAGGACTTCCTAGTTCTTTATCTATGTTACAGCACATTCAGAAAATGTATTTGTATGAGCTGCTGGGCCAGTGCCCTGCCTTGGCTCTCCTGCGGGCCAAGAAGAACTTTCACAGTACACCTATGAGGAAATTCTGAATTAGAGAGGGAATAAATGTGTACTTAAAAGACATACTGTTGAATAAACAAATGAATAAAAAAAAAACATACTTTTACATATTTTTATTTTTTTCAGAGATTTTATTTATTTGAGAGAGCAAGCAAGCAAGGAACAGGGGGAGAGGGACAAGCAGATTCCATGCTGAGCGCACAGCCTAATGAGGCGCTAATTTCATGACCCTGACCTGAGATCATCACCTGAGCCAAAATCAAGAGTCTTGATGCTTGAGCCCCCAGGCACTCTTTGAAAGACATACTATTAATAGTATATTAAATACTATAAAAAAAAATACAGGGGCGCCTGGGTGGCTCAGTGGGTTAAAGCCTCTGCCTTTGGCTCAGGTCATGATCCCAGGGTACTGGGATCGAGCCCTGAGTTGGGCTCTCTGCTCAGCAGGGAGCCTGCTTCCCTTCCTCTCTCTCTGCCTGCTGCTATGACTACTTGTGATCTCTCTCTGTCAAATAAATAAATAAATAATCTTAAAAAAACAACAACCATAATTTAAGTACATTTTAAACCTAAATAAGATGACAATAATATTGAATTTTCTATTTAAAAAAGATTTAATCCTTTTTTAATATAATCTCAAAAACTTTTTTGAGATTATGTCAAAAAAAGTTTTAGAGATACATAACCCAATGCTTACAGATGAGATGAGATGATGACTGGTATTTACTTCAAAATAATTTAAAAAAGGTCGGGGGGGGGGGAATAGTTGGAAGATTTAAAAGGACTGGCCATGGGCTGATGGCTGTTAGGGCTGGGCACAGGTACACAGGGGTTCATTATACTATTCTAATTTTATGTGTTTGCAATGTTCTGTAACAAATTTATTTTTCATTAAAAAAAAAATATTGTATTTACTTATTTGACAGAGTGAACAAGCAGGTGGAGCAGAGAGGGGGAAGCAGCTTCCTGCTGAGCAAAGAATCTGACATGGAGTTCAAACCCAGGACTCGGGGATCACAACCTAAGCCCAAGGTAGACGCGTAACCAACTGAGCCACCCAGGTGCCTCTAAAACAAATTTAAAGACTAAAAATACTCAACAGTATTAACTCCAGGGACTTCTTATTAATGCTAAATATGAGAGACAATGACCATGTGGTTTATGATCTCTTTCCTCAACAGGGTAGAAACTAGCACAATCCCCAGAAACTGGGAGACACTGCTTGGGAGACTTTCAGGTCTCCCTGCTTCCTTAGTGTAGAACTGTTTACATTAGTTGATCATTTACAAAAGAAAGTAACATACATACACACAGTTTATAGTTTTAATAGTTTCAAAATACAATTCCTCTGCCCTTGGACCTATATGATAGAGATGTAGAAAGAAGTATCTCCTTATTTGACCTCAGCGCTTGATAAATGATGGTACTTAACAGTTATAAAGCTTAATTCCTCTCCTCTGGAGGGTCAAATGAGTTCCTCAGTTTTAGCAATGGTGATAAAATGGCAAAAGACAAGAACGAAAGAGAAAATAATTAAATATTTAAAGGCAGAAATAGTCAACTTTGAAACAGGCTCAGTAAGTGCACCCAGACATTTATTTCCACTGTGCTAATGAACTCTATTAAAAATAATCATTTTGGTAAAAAAAAAAAAAAGAACTATCTTCTACTGCTCATCTCTCTTTTTCTAAAAAACTCAAAACACATCAGTGAGTCTTTGAAGAAAAGAAGGGTAAATATTCAGGGAGTAATTTAAGTAAATAACCCTATATATAAATAGCAAGTATAATTAGATAAAAATCTGAGAAAAGAAATAACTTGTTTAATTCAAGGGACAGGTTTGAAAAAAAAAAGGAGACAGAAGACCTAGACAGAAAACACAACAGAAAATCATGAAAAGGAACAAAGAAAGGATCTAAGAGAAATCAGCAACTCGTGGTCATTTATTTACCCACCGATCTTTTTTTTTTTTTTTTAAAGATTTTATTTATTTATTTGACAAAGATCACAAGTAGGCAGAGAGAGAGAGGAGGAAGCAGGCTCCCTGCTGAGCAGAGAGCCCGATGCAGGACTCGATCCCAGGACCCCGAGATCATGACCTGAGCTGAACGCAAAGGCCCAACCCACTGAGCCACCCAGGTGTCCCACCAATCTCTTTTATTCTATTCCCTATCTTCCTCTCTTGGGTTTCCTAATGCCAGCCTAGGCTCCCTGCAACTCTTTACTGTCAATTCCACACGCATATGGGATGCACTGTATCACTGCTATCCAATATGGTAGCCGCTGGCCACACGGGGCTATCATGAACTTGAAATGTGGCTGGTCTGAACTGAAATGTACTGCAAGTGTAAAATATGCTTTTGAACACAGAATAAAAAAAAAATCCTAACTTTATATTGATAACACATAGAAAGTATAGAATTTTAGAATATTAGGTTAAATAAATTATTGAAAATAATCATGTTTTAAAGAAACTTTTTTTTGATGTAGCTATTAGAAAAGTAGAAATACATATGTGGCTCACATTTACATTTTGACTGGACAGTGCTGCTTCAGATACTTTATCACAACCCACTATTCCTCATGCTCGTCTGGCCTTAATGACACGCTAAGAGTTGACCCATGGGATAAATTATTTCTATGCGCTAACACACTTCCAGAGAGCTTCTCAGCTTCTCCTAGGAAAAACAGTAGAAACAGACTTACCAATATACTCTTCAAGATCTATGAAACCATCAGCATTCTTATCTATATCCTCCATTGTTTCCTAGACAGAAGAGGAGACAAAGTAAGTTTCTGGATGAGATTTAGGCAATACCTTATCATTCATTAAAACACACACACGCACACATATATGTTTATGTGTGGGTATGGTTAAACCACAGGAGGGGCGCCTGGGTGGCTCAGTGGGTTAAAGCCTCTGCCTTTGGCTCGGGTCATGATCCCAGGGTCCTGGGATCAAGCCCCGCATCGGGCTCTCTGCTCAGTAGGGAGCCTGCTTCCTCCTCTCTCCCTCTCTGCCTGCCTCTCTGCCTACTTGTGATCTCTCTCTGTTAAATAAATAAATAAAATCTTAAAAAAAACAAAAAACACACACACAGGAAACTGCCTTTTTCCCAGCTAAAAAATGGTAAAACATCACTTATTTTTTATGCTTCAATCCAAAATAACTATGAATCTTCTTGGAAAACACTGGAACCGTTTAAAAAATGACCTATCCCACCAAGCCCATGATGATGTGGAACAGACCGAGTCATGCTGAAGTCATTCTAACAGGAGATGTGACCAGTATGTCTATAACTATAGTCTATATTTTATGTTTACAAAACTATAAAGTCTGTAGTTTGTTTTATTGGTAACTGCCTTCTGTGAGAATTCTTCAATATTACTGTTATTAGTGTCTGATCACTGGTTATAGGACATTTTTAAAAACAGGATTTTTGGTTGCCGGGGGGAAGGGGGTAGGGAGAGGGTGGTGGGGTTATGGACATTCGGGAAGGTATATGCTATGAAGTGTGTAAACCTGGCAATTCACAGACCTGTACTCCTGGGGCTAATAATACATTATGTGTTAATAAAAAAAAATAAATAAAACAAAACCAAAAAAAACCCCAGGATTTTCTTGGGAGCGCCTGGCTGACTCAGTCAGTATTGCATGTGATTCTTGATCTCAGGTTCGTGATTTCAAGCCTGACACTGGGGCTTAGAGCTTGCTTAAAAATAAAAGCAAGTCATTCTTCCAGATACAGAGTAAAGAATAAAGAGGAAAAACAGTATAAGCAACAAAAAGAGGAACTGGGTTTCCGTTGAGAATCACTGCTCTCCACCAACCTGTACTACTATATCTTTCATGTAGTCATACTCCTCAGGGTGCAGGAAAGCTGTGAATTCCTCCTTTGTGGCAATGAGGTCTCCATCCTTATCTGCCATTTTAAATCTCCGCTCATCTCTAACCATCATCTGTTTATAGTTAAATCCATCATCAGGGTCTGGATCATCTAGAAAACAAGACATTTAGGTCAAATCATAACACTGCCACAAAACATGAAAATGTGTGGACTGAGGAAATCAATTTACAAGAAAGATAAATCAAGCAATGAAGAAATAACCCGACTACACAGGTAAAATTGTAACAGTGTGAAAGCATTCAGTTTTGGTAGTCAAAGTCAGATGCAAATTGAATGTAAATGTTTGCCATTCCAATGGAACCCTGGCTCCTTGGCTATGTAACCTATTATGTGACACTTTGCTACTTTTGGTGTTATGGCTACTAGAAGGTTCAAGCTTTCTGGTTATATCTGAGAGACAGTGGTAGTTCTAAAGTCATACTATTTCGGTTTCAATCCTAAACTCTACCACCTCCGAGCTGTGTGACTGTGGGCAAGTAACTAAATTGTACTTCAATCTACTCATCTGTAAAATGATGATAGCAGTGCCTGCTGCTCAGGACTATTAGGAGGTGTGCATGAGCGAATAAATCTAAGTGCTCAGAATAGTGCCTAACTTATAGTTGGCTCTCAGTAAGTGTTAGCTATTGCTATTTTTATTGAACACTAGGCTCCCACTGAGAAGCTAGATATCAAAGACCTCCTACCTTGTATTAAGGCCACTTTGATTCAAGTCAACAGAATATTATCCTCTGAAAGGTCACACTTTAGTTTTTTCAGCCAACTCAGAGATCTACCATGAGTTATAAGTACTGCTTGCCAACACCCCCCCCCATTTCTGTAAGATTATAGAATGCAAAACTAATCCAGAGTTATAGAAAACAGGTCAGGGGTTACCCAGGGATAGGGAGGACTATAAAGGGACACGAGGAAACTTTTTGGGTGATGCTATATTCATTTATCTTGATTGTAGTGATGGGTCCGTTGGTATATACCTATGGCAAAACTCATCAACTGTGCATTTTAATTATGTGCAGTGTATTATTTGTCAATTATACCTCAATAAAGCCATAACAAAAAATAAACATTAGATTACAACCAAATTGAAGCTGGACCTAAACATCTGTTTGCTGAACTACAGAAGCAGTAGTTATTTAGAATCTATATAAGAATCTAGAAGAATGAAATTCAGTTTAAGCTGAAAAAAGTGTTAAGGAATTATCTGTAGGAAAAACAAAACAAACAAGCAAAAAACCCCTTTCAATCTGCTGTGTGGACCAAAAGGAAACATGTGAAGATATTATGAAATGTAAAAGACATCACATTAAACCTAAGAAACAATCTTTCCTACAACATACTGATCAAATAAAAAAAGATACGACACTAGTTTTATAAAAAGACCCACAGGACCCCTTTAACAATTAACATCACACTGCTGATTGCTGATACTGTCATTCAATCCTTCCATACATTAAGCACAGTTTAGAAAACAAAAACAAACTACTGCTATACTTTGAGAGTTGGGCAGTTCGAAGCTTCATTCTTTGTCAAGTGTCAAAATTCAGTAAGATGGCTTATTGAATCATGAGTATCTGTGATAGTCACAACCGTTAACAGGTTGAAGATGGAGAATTAAAGGAAAATATACAACTCTTTAAAGATACTAAGTCATCTCTTCTAAACAAATAAAGTTTCAGTCCTAACTACGTAACAAAAATAAGAATAGAAGAGGTGCCTGGGTGGTTTGACCCCAGGGTCCTGGGATGGAGCCCTACATCGGGCTCCCTGCTCAGCGAGAAGCCTGCTTCTCTCCCACTCCCCCTGCTTGTGTTCCCTCCCTTGCGGTCTCTGTCAAATAAACAAAACCTTAAAAAAAAAAGGTAATAGAAGACAACTTATACATTAAGACTAGATTCTTAACAAAGAGCCCTCTTCTCTGCTTAGGGTAAAACATGGTGACTGCAATCATGGATATACAGAAGGATGAAGAAGGAAGTTAAAAACTTGACTTTTAATAACTAAACTCCTGTGTTTGCTGTGATTGCCTGGAGTGCCAGATCTATCCTAAGTACGTTTTCTGTGCTATCCAGCCAGTATCATTTGGGGCAGGCTCTTGATCTAGTTTTGGCACAGCCAGAATGGATCTTGGTATTTTTTAATTTTTACTTGTGGCAGAGACAGAGTTAACCTTCCTTTTGTGGAAAGCAGATTCATTAAGACAGATTTTAATTAAAAGCTACGATGATTTATGCCTGAACTCAAAACCTGAATCAAGAATATACTCACAAAAAGCCCCTCAGCACTTCTGCAAGTCTCCTCATTACCCCGGCACTAACCACCCACATGCCTTGAGGGAAAGATGCCTTACAAAGATACAGCTTCTCTCCCGTCCATCCGCAGTTTCAGCAGAGACACCCATTACACTGAATCATTTGACCTATCGAGCAACAGAGCTCTCAGCAGATTTCTACGCACATAATCATACAAAGAGTTTAAGATGCATTCTGGATAGCAAGTGAGTCCCTACGTAGGTCTGAATGGAGATTTATCAACACTCCATTTTGTTTACATCACCAACAGCCTACCCTTCACTCTATTTTTACAAGTCCAAATAACTCAGGAGGGTGTTGGCTTTCAGCCAGAAAGCAAGAAGCACAGGGTGCCTCTCCATCTGCACTGACTTTTAATACACATGTTCTTAATTGGGTGAAGGATATGTTTGGTTCTTGGCTAAGTGTCAAGCATGAAGAGAGATTGCCACTTTAGTCTTAGGAATGAGAACAAGCCCAACACAGAATAAGTTTCTTCACTAGAAATGCATGCAGTCCTGTAACTAACACAGACAGCTGGCTATCCAGTGGGGGAAACAGACTTATTATACACTCACTGCTTGTTAATCAGTGGTGGAGAATGCCTGCTTTAACCCAGAAATTTGCCTAACTTCCAGGATAAAAATGCAAGAAGTAACATTTATACATTCTTATCTCAAATTGTAACCAAGTACAGGAATCTCACTAACAAAAACATCCTAAGTCATCAACTCAGTAAGATTGCCACCTAGCATTCAGCAACAGGCAAATAATAAGAAAAAGAAAATTACTAACAGGTGGCCCAAGCACATAAGCTACCAAATCAACAGAAAGCAATCAAAGTCAGCATTTGCATAGCAGGCTGATAAACTCATGTGCCAGAGAAAACAAATGGGAAATTTTCATTTCTAAACTTTGGTTGGCAGACATACTAAAATAAAGGAGTTAAATTTTATCAAGGGAAAGCTGTTATATTTGATATTTATTTTATTAAGGAAAGACAGTAATTTTTCTATTCCCACGAGTTACAAAGGAATCTAATTTGAATTTCAGGTCTAATACTTTAAAAAAAAGTATTTATATTTATATTTTATATATGTTATATATATCATATATATTATAATTATATATTTATATATTATTTAAATTCAATTTATTAATATATAGTGTATTATTACTTTCAGGGGTAGAAATTAGTGACTCATCAGTTGCATATAACACCCATTAGGTCCAATACTTTAATGTGACTATGTCAAGAGACATCTCAAAGTCTCTTGCTTTTGCATTATTGAAACAATGCAGTCTTTTAGACGAGCTCTACTCCAAAAATGGTCTCTAAGGGAATCACAGAAAGAAAATTTGATAAAATAATATTATCTGGAATGCTAAAGATATAGAAGATGCCAGACCTTAGAAAACCAAAATTAAATACTTAATATACACATTGAAAGTTAATAAAATAAAGGGAAATCAGTTCAGCATTGGACTATTTAAGCACTTTCCTTCACTTTGTGACCCATTTGTTTCTTTGACTCAAGACCATGGTCTCTATCAGGCTGACATCTTGCCCCTTACCCAGGTAAGTGCCATAAGTCACGTTTCTGTACTCATCCCAGGAGATTAAGCCGTCTTGATTCATATCAAACTCGTGCCATTGGTTTTCAACATTGTCATATATGTATTTCTTCTGGGCGTGCTTAATCCAGGATTTCAGCTCCCCCTCCGTCACAAACCCATCTTTATCCACGTCTATTTTATCTACAATCATTCTACAAGACAAAACAGTTACGTTTCAAGGTGCCAGCTCCATAAGGCTTTTTCCCCCAGATAGCAGGGACCTACCTAAAACGTAGCCGTAGGTGGCATTTTTATACTCCTCCCAGGAAACGAGGCCGTCCTCATTGAGGTCATGCCCCTTCCACTGTCGCTCTACATCCTCGTAAATCCAGCGCTTTTGTGCAAATTTAATCCAGTCTTTGAGTTCATCCACAGTGACAAACCCGTCCTTGTCGCCATCTATTTTACTTACAATCTTTCTGTAGAAAATGCAGAGAAATCCAGCAAGAGGTTAAAAGGACACAAGGCTCCCTCTAGACTTAAGCCAGGTGTGTGCTGTAACCAGAGGTGTTGCCCAGGGCTAAAGCATGGACATAAAAAAAAGTCTCCAAAAAAACCTTCCAGACAGGCAACTGAAAGTATTTCTCATAAGTGACCAGTCACTGGTCTGAAATGAGCTTTAGTCCATGGCTGGTGCACTTCCATCCAAAAGCAAACCCAGTCTCATCCCTTTAGGGGTAGGTTACAGCCAACAGTCAGAACTCAGGAGTGACTATCCATTCCTATCTGCATTCTCCATTCTTCGTATCAAAAAACACACAAATCTTTATGTTTTTCTTTACTACTTTTAGAAGAATCTCAATTTCTTGATAAATAATCACAATCACTAATATGGTTTTCTAAAAATTCAAAAATTTAAACCAGACTTTAAAAAATCCAGTTGCTTTTTAAAAAAAGGTTAACACTTCTGTTAAAAATATAAAGATACAAAGATAGTTCTGGGATCACTTTACTTCAAGTTAAGATTTAAAAACAGAAGCCCAAAACCCAACAAACACACACACACACACACACACACACACACACACATACACATCCCAAAACAGAGGGGAATAAAGTCCACAAAGTTACAAAAAGACAGAAGGACAGATGCATGTTTATTTTAAAAAACAACTAGCAGCTCATTATACATTATGTTGAACTTTCACATATAACCACAAAGACAGAGAACTCTGAGGAAACGATGTGATAAGAAAGTCTGCCCCAACATACATGAGCTTAGGAGAATGTTAATAAGCTGAGAGGGTGAGGATACAGATGATAAAGCAAAACTACAAAGCTGAAGAATCAATATACTTCACCCTTCATGAGCTTTTCTTCCAGGCTTGCCATCTCAAGTTTAATTAAGAATTTTGAAATGTGTGCATGACATATAAGCCTCTATGGATGCAACCACTCATTTATAGAGGCGCAGACAACCTATGTAGTGTCACCCAATTAAGTGGCCCAGTTTGGAATGGGAACTTCAAAACATCCAAGAGATCTGAAATCTTGGCATATTCCTATGCCCTACTATTTGCAGGACTGAAAAAGACTGCCACTTGGTAGCAAATAATGTCTTTTCCCACTCTGCATTCATTTCATGAATATTGGAAAATGATTAAAATCACAGAGTACTACTGACACTATGAAAAGAGATTCATCTTGATATTGGTATGTTGTTAGCCTTAACCATCTAGTCCTTAAACTCTCTAATTTTTCTTCAGGGAATGTGTAATCTAGCTTTTGCTCTAAAATGTTAATAGAAAAGGTAAAGCAGTAAGAAGCTATCTCTTAAATACCCTCCTCTATCTACATGGGCGTAAGACAAAAAAAAAATTTTTTTTTTTCAACTTCAACCCTGGAGAGTTAAAAAAAATATTAACACATTAAGTTATACCAGTACACTCACTATACACTTCTGCATTATCTACAGAAATCCAGTTTATATCCAAATGGTATTACTGACTACCAATAATGCCACTGTACCATTAAGAAAAGGGTAAGGTATCAGAATGCCTCCCATTCTCAAATGAAAATTTTAAACTATTATAAATGGCCTAAAGAGAAGGATCATTCAGATAAAGAGGCATATGACTGCTCAAGATGGATGTCTGTTAATGAAGTTGGCTGAACTCCACTCTATTTATTCCCACAGACGTATCTCAAATGCTTTAACCCAGAGGTTGGCAAACTTTTTCTGGAAAGGGTTAGATAGTAAATGTTTCTTATTTTGTCAGCCACATATGGTTCATCACATATCTCTATATTTTAATAACCATTAAAAATATAAAAGCCAGGCGCTTGGGTGGCTTAGTTGGTTGGGCCACTGCCTTTGGCTCAGGTCATGATCCTGGAGTCTTGGGATTGAGTCCTGCATTGGGCTTCCAGCTCCACGGGGAGTCTGCTTCTCCCTCTGACCTTCTCCCCTATCATGCTCTCTCTTTCTCTCTCAAATAAATAAGTAAAATCTTAAATATATAAATATATATAAATATATATGTGTGTGTGTATATACACACACACACACACACACACACACACACACACACACACCATTCTTATCTTGCCATCCAGCCTGTAGGCAGCTGTAAAAGTACAGTGTAAGTGGGTATATCCTATTTTAGGCACTCAGCTTTAAACTCTGATCTTTTAAAACCTGTGCAAATTTATAAAGCTAATGGTGTTTTTCTCCTGTGACACTGAAGGACGCTAAAGATGTAGTTATGATGCCACCAAATAAGCATTTATTTCAGGATCGACACAATGTACTTAGTGGACCTCATGTTATTTCTAAGAAGTAACACATGCCTCTACATTTCAAGAATCAAAAAGCAAATCCTTTGGGTTTTTTGTTTTGTTTTAATGAACCCAAGCAAGTAAGCTCCAGGAAGATGCATAATATTCCTGAAATTTTTAGCATGCAAAATTTTATATATATTCATACGTGTACTTTTCTGAGGTAGTCCTTTGCTTTCCTTAGACTCTTAAAGGGGTTGGCCTGTGATCTAAGGAAGGATGAGGAACTGCTCTAGTTCATTTCTGAAGCAAATATGCCAAGGATGAAAACTTTTGAGTATTAAGGGCCACCACCTCAAAACAAATAAACCTCATTTGAAGGACATATAAATGAAAATTAAGTACACTTAAGACTCCTTTGGATGGCAGAAGGAGAATATACACATAAGAAAAAATATTCTGTCAACATTCTTAAGAAAAAGGGAAAACTCTATTAAATAAAATGTTTTTAAATATTACTGAAGATTTAAAAATAATGGTGAATTTCTGCAACTATAGATGTTAACAATGATCATCTCTCCTCATCACCCGCCTTCTATATAGGTGGAAGCAGGCAGCTGGGGGGTGGGGAATCTGTTGTCCCCAACCTCTGGTGTGTAGTTACCTAACAAAACAATGTTTAGAAATGCCACAATGAACGAGTTAAAAAAAAAAAAAAAAAAAAAAAGTTTATCTGGAATCCTTACTTCCAATAAACATTATTTCTCATTATCTCCAAAATTTAGAAGCAAATACTATTTGCTCATACATTTTATGAAAAGCATTATCTTAACCATCTTATTCTAATCAAATAAGAGTCTGCTTATGTGCTGACATTTTGCTATTTACTAATGACAAAAAGGAACATTCTCTCCACTGAAAACTGCTAGTAGAGCCCCACTACCTGCATACAGCCAGAACATACTGACTGACACCAAGGCTAAATGCCTTTCATTATTTAAGAGTAATTCTTTGAAGAGCCATGTGCAGACCCAAATGTGGGTGAGATATGCAGGTTATTAATAGGTAAGACATGAAGACTGAGGACACCCTCATGCATCCCTATTTTTAGCCCAAATGTTAGCAGTTATAAAATTAAAATTAAAAGTGAGCATGGTCTCTTAGTTAGAAAAGCAACCTAATAGAAGACCGACTCTTTAATGTATTTGTTTTTCCTATTTTCAAATGTTTGTAGTTTCTCATTCTACAAAGCAAAAATCTTTGGAGTATTTCTGTCAGTGTTTAAGAATAAAATATTGTATCCTTTAGTTTGCAGATAATCCAATAAAAGGATAAAATAAATTTATTCTGAAGTATCACCCAAAACAAACTCTGTTATGTCTTTTTTTTTTTTTAAACATTTATTTGTTGGAAAAAGAGTGCGAGAGAGAAAGCACAAGCAGGGTGAGCGGCAGGCAGAGGGAGAAACAGGCTCCATGCTGAGTAGGGAGCCCGATGTGGGACTCAATCCCAGGACCCTGGGATCACGACCTGAGCCGAAGGCAGACACTTAACCAACTGGGTCATCCAGGCGTCCCTCTATAACATCTTCTACTCATAGTCCTATCCAGGACGGCAAAATACTTTTGGAAATTCTTACATAATACAACTTTCCAAACAAATCTCTTAAATATAGTTCAGAAAGTTACACCAATGGTGCTCATAAAGGAGAAAATGTTCACTAATAATGCATTTCCTCAAAAAGCAAGGGTTTGGATGAGCCAAAAGGAAAAAAAAAAGATATTCTTAGATCCTCAGAAATAATCAATTGGGATTCCACCAAATCAACTCACTAGGTTAAAAGATGCCTGCTGAGAGCCACAGAACCCAACTATGGCCCACCTGTTATTAAAACAGCAACACAGGGGCACCTAGGTGGTTCAGCTGCTTGAGTGACTGCCTTCGGCTTGGGTCATGATCCTAGAGTTCTGGGATCGAGCCCCAAGTCAGGGTCCCTGCTCAGCAGGGGAGTCTGCTTCTCCCCTTCCCCCTGCTCATGCTCTCTCTCTCTTTCAAATAAATAAAATCTTAAAAAAAAAAAGCAACTCACACTCAACATTAAGACTGTTACTTATTACAATCTTCTAAAAGGCTTTCGTTTTTAATTAAGCAAATATCTGAAAATGAAAACAAAGAGGGTGAAGGATATTCTCAGAAATCACAAACTACAAGAAATTAGCCCAGGGGTCTCATTTGCAGTTTATTTTCCACTCAAAGGCTTGGCTTGGGAAACAATGAACAGGTCACACATCACTTTTAAAAATTAAAAACAACAGGGATAAGAGGCCCCCCATGTAATGTTCCTTTGAAAATAAGATGCATTTCAATTTGGGTGCGGTAGCATTTGGTACTTTTAAGCAAAAATGACTTTGCTTTGTAGAATGAGGTAAAACTGTTAGTGGAGAAATTTATGAAAGCAAGCAATTAATTAAATTTTAGTGGTAGCAATTCTGTGGTTAGCTTTCAGAAAATGTAGTTCAAAACATTCAAAACTGGGTGGCCAAGCCAGTAGAAAAAAAAGAATGAGCCTATTTGTAATGAAATGTAATTACTTTAGCCCCCTGAGAGATGGTGCCTTACCCAAGCCTTTCCTTGCTCTCTTCTGGTGTCAGCTGATCAAAGGTCTTCGCTTCTTCGGCGCCCAGGAAGGCATCATGGTCATAATCAAAACTCTGAGCATCATTGTGAACTTTGTCACTGAGCTGAGGCTCATGGTGTACACGGTCCTTCTTTTCTGTGGGCTTGCTCAAGGCAAAGGCTGTGCACAGGGACAGGCACATAAGAAACTGTCGCAGGTCCATGATAATTAGATCTTAAAGAAAAACAAAGGTTAGTTAATTCAGGAAACAGTGTGCTCTGTAATCAAATAAGAAATTAAAAGCTCATATCCAGTTATTAATCTGATATTATCCCAAATATTCTTACTTAATCCAAAAAATAAGAATGGTAGAATATCACTTTCCAATATTATGGTGAGGAATTTTCACCAGTTTCCTTCACGTGATTGGAAGCTGACAAAGAATCAGTTAAAATATCCACCCTGTAAGTAGGCTCCCTTTTAAAAACACATTAACCTTCTTGCCCAAGTTCTTAAGACTAAAAGCGACAAGACCAACTTTATTTAAATTCAGACCTATTGACTACAAATAACTTTACTTTTTGTACTACATCAGGGATCTGGTCTTTAAAACTGGCTGGTTATTAGGATCACCTAAGAAGCTTTAAAAAAATTCCCCCATTCAATTAGAATTTCTGAAGTTGAATGCATGCACCTGAAGTTGTAAATGCTTCTCAGGTGATAATAGTGATCATTATTATATCAGGAACCACGAACTATTTGAGCAGATTCCTTGTCCTATATATAGCAACAAGTTGTCTCCCATATCCATGGTCAACCAAACCACCTTCAGAGATCGAACCATTCAGATGGTACAGTGACGGAGAACAACCGCTTCGGCATTCCTTATACTATGTTTCCCCGACTTTCCCCGGCATGAGGATGCTTTGGAGTACTGTTCAAAGTACAGATAGACCCCCAGGTACTACTCCACATCTTCAGAATCTTGGCAGTCACAACTGACTCTAATGAACAAGCATAAGGCTTGGACACTACAAAAAAATACTGACCAAAAAAATCGCAGAGAGGGCACAGGATGGTAACTTGTTTAGCACACTCTACAGATGCCCCACAGTAATGTCTAGAAACACTACGGTCTTAGAGAAAAAAACATCAAATTAAAAATCAAGAGCAAAGATTTTCCCAACTTTCATATTTTAACTAATCTTTCACCAGTAGAACATGGATTCTGAATGCCTTTTCCCCCGCCGGGAGTCAGTTTTTGTAAATTCAGAAAATCTCTTACTCATTTCCACTTGTAACCAATAGCTCCCTTACTGGATAGGCAGGTAGCTATTAGGCATGAGGCTTGTTTGTGGGTTTGTGTCCCCCCAAAAGATATATATATATCCTGAAGTCCTAACGGGCCAGTACTCATGAATGTGACCTTAGGGGCATCTGGGGGCTCAGTTGTTAAGCATCTGCCTTTGGCTCAGGTCATGATCCCAGGGTTCTGGAATCGAGCCCCACATTGGGCTCCTTGCTCAGCGGGAGCCTGCTTCTCCCTCTCTTGCTCCCCCTGCGTGTGCTCTGTCAAATAAATAAAATCTTAAAAAAAAATATGACCTTATTTGGAAACAGGATCTTTGCAGATGTAATTAAGTTAAAATGAGGTCATTTTGGATTAGAGGGTGGGCTCTAATCCAATGACTGATGTCCTTATAAAAGGAGGGAAATTTAGATAGTCACACAGAGAAGAGAATGCCAATTTATGAAGAGGCCGGATTGGAATGATGCATCCGCAAGTCAAGGAATGTCAAGGATTCCTGGCAACCTGAGAGGCTAGGAAGAGGGAAGGAAGGATACTCCCCTAGGGCCTTCAGACAGAGCATGGCTCAGCCAACACCTTGATTTCTAACTTCTAGCCTCTAGAACTATGAGAGAATAAGCATCTGACCTTTTAAGCCACCCAGTTTGTGCTAATTTGTTATAGCAGTCCTAGGAAACTAATAAAAGGCTCAGTACAGAGGACCACTGCTGCACATGAAAGGTAAATGCATTACTTTACCCTAATTTGAAGATTATGCTAGCCAGACTTCAACTTCCCCAGGATGTCACTAGTGGAATCATCTAGTCCAAGGACTCACAATTTATATGTGAATATTTTTAAAAACGTGAAAATTCTTTCAGCAGGACTTCTAACTTAGTGGTTCTGAATCTAGATTTTACCCTAGAATCACCCAAAGACTTTCAAGAAAATATGATCACTAAGTCCCACCCCTATTAATATTTTTAAAAGGCAGCCAGGTTGTGAACCACTATTTTAAGTAACCTCTCAAATAGCCAAAGTAGTATCTTAAGAAATTTGACCTGAGGGATGCCAGGGTGGCTCAGTCAGTTAAGCATCTCAGGGTTCTGGGACTGAGTCCTGCATTGGGCTCCCCGCTCAACATGGAATCTGTTTGTCCCTCTCCCCCTGCTCGTGTTCTCTTTCTCTCTCAAATAAATAAAATCTTAAAAAAAAAAAAACAACAACCCTGCAATCAAACAAACACCCTATCTTGTTTCTTCCTGATTAAGAATTATTTCTCTTAGGGGTGCCTGGGTAGCTCAGTTGGTTAAGTGCCTGCCTTTGGCTCAGGTCAGGCTCCATTTCTGCTTGTGCTCTCCCTCTCTCGACAAATAAGTAAGAAAAAGCTTGGGGGGGGGGAACTGACCTGAAAATATACTTAATATGAAGAAACTCCATATATCTGATCCTGCCTGAAAGTATTGGGAGCTAGAATGAATTGTTCCAGGGGATAAAGAAATTAAGTACACCAATAGATTAGACATATTTCAATGTATGTTTTTCTTGTAACCCACAAACAGTAAAGGAAGTTACACTGCATTACCTTGGATTTATAGAGTCCTTTGGATTCAGTAAACTAAAGAAATGCTTACAACAGCTAATGGTGAGCATGTTACATAAAGATTCTGTAAAGTAGGGGCGCCTGAGTGGCTCAGTGGATTAAGCCACTGCCTTCAGCTCAGGTTATGATCCCAGGGTCCTGGGATCGACCCCCACATCGGGCTCTCTGCTCTGCGGGGAGCCTGCTTCCTCCTCTCTCTCTGCCTGCCTCTCGCTGACTTGTGATCTCTGTCAAATAAATAAATAAAATAAATCTTAAAAAAAAAAGATTCTGTAAAGTAGGAGGAAAGCAAATAGAGAAATAGGTTTAATCCCAACACAACCTAGAAAGATGATTATACAAAAGCACAACCTGAAGCTGCCATGAATAACTTTCAGGCTGTAAAGCACACAAGGACACTGTATTCCATACCTGGGAAAGCAGTGTAGTGGGGAAGGGGGAGAAGGTCCTCAAATGGCAGAGGAGTCATCAACAGACTGTAGAAAACATTTTACAGTAAATAGGACAGATTCAGTAAGTCAAACACAAACACCTCTAAGGAGATGACTGGAGGCAGTCACTCCTGAAATGCCCATTCTCCAAAATAAATACATACATACATACATACATCAATAAATAAATAAACAGTACTCTTACTGGATGGTTGGTAAGACTGACGAAAACCGATTAAGAAACAATGTGAAATCAAGACCATGAGACTGCTAGGGAAATGGGAAAAAGGTGGGACTTTTCTTAAGCTGTTCCCATCAATGTCAGAACACAGCTATGCTTCTGAAACTTTATCTGTATTTTGTTTCATGCTATCCCATCAAAATGTCCAAATTTGTATACAAGACATTTGCACAAATATATTCCATAATGAACATTTATAATAATAAAAAAATGGAAAACAAACTAAACCAGAGAACTAGTAAATACATATTAAATCTATATTACGGGAGACTACACGAAGGTAGAAAGTGGATCTATTTGCGCTGAAATGGAGAATTCGCTAAGACATGTTAAGCGAACAACAAAAGAGCAAGTTGCAAAACGATGTTAAGATTTATGTAAAAAGCTAAACCAAACAACCTCTGAGGTTGTTTTTATTTGTATAAAATAGAAGACATATGCGCAAAAATGGCGTGGAAGAATAAACGCCTATATGAAAACAGTGGTTACCCCCAGATTCAAGGCAGAAGAGATGGGGGGGTGGTGAGGCTGGTGTGGAGTGGACTTTAATATTGTACTCTGTTGTCTATATTTGGTAAATGAATACACACTGTGTACCACCTGTGTATATTACTTTTTAAATATTATAAAGACTCTTTTCAATACTAGTTGCAAAGAAAACATTTTCAAGCTATTTCTCCAGACTAAAAAACGAGACAGAAGAAAAATCACATACCTTCCTCCCCCAAGATTTTATTTATTTGAGGGGCGCCTGGGTGGCTCAGTGGGTTAAAGCCTCTGCCTTCGGCTCAGGTCATGATCTCAGGGTCCTGGGATCGAGCCCCGCATCGGGCTCTCTGCTCAGTGGGGAGCCTGCTTCCTCCTCTCTCTCTGCCTGCTTCTCTGCCTACTTGTGATCTCTGTCTGTCAAATAAATAAAATCTTAAAAAAATATATTTTATTTATTTGAGACAGAGAATGAGAGAGAGAGAGAGCATGAGTGGAGAAAGGTCAGCGGGAGAAGCAGACTCCCTGCCTAGCAGGAAGCCCAATGTGGGACTTGATCCCGGGACTTCAGGATCATGACCTGAGCCGAAGGCAGAGGCTTAACCCACTGAGCCCCCCAGGCGCCCCTTACGACATAAACTTTTTAAAGTAAAACATGCTGCTCTAGAATAACTCTTCAGCTTGCCCTTCAATAATTCAACTGATCAATCAAATCAGTGAACAGAAGAAAATTCAAAGACTTAATGGCTCTCTTAAATGCCAAAATGAGTATGTTTTTATTTTAGGGCAAAATAAAACTTCCATCTCAAACTACAAACAATTCTCTAGACCAATAAAACTCTTTAGGGACAAGAAACAACTTTGTTATTTTCCACAATAAATATCTATTTTGTGATATATCCAAACAGTATCTATATGTTAGAGGTTTAAAAAATCAAGTAAAATCAAGTCACTGCAACAGAAGATTTTCTTTATGCCTATTAATAAGGGAACTTCACATTTAAGAAAATTTTATATATAATTATTTACATCCTCAGAATAAAATGCCCTAAAAATTCTTGCATAGTTCTTGGACAACCCCTGCAAACCCCAAATGTTACAATAGGAATAAATGCCGAAGCCCATTACCAAGGCTGGAAAAGATACTGTACAAAGTTTTGATACATGTAACATACAGAAATTAAC